TTACATAAGGACAGGCATTGGACACGAACTATGGCTGTTTAAAGAAAAGGCGCAAGAAACATGATCACGTGACGACAACATTGGAAACTTCTATCTTGATTGGCAAAAAGGAAACAAAACAAAAATGCGAGACGAGGTAACGTAATACAGACAATACGTCAGAATTGTGGTATCATGGTGAACCTATGCGCGCTTATCTAACAACCGTTTTATGGTAGCAGCATGAGAGAGCAATTGTAATGCGAAACGCCAGCGAATGCAATTTAACAAAAAAGGAGGGCTGGATGCTAATGGCCGTGGGAATGAGCATGGCCTATTTGCGTGATAAGGGGAAGTAGCATGCCAAGCATGACGATGCTGACGTCTGTCTTGGACATGCGGTTGGATCCAGAGTATGCTTCCATGTAGCCGTTTGCAGTCGGATCTTCATGGGCGTGTTGCGAGGCTGTTGCATCGGCCATCGAATGCATAGCGACGTATCTGTTACGTGTATTGTTAGCAAAAAGAAAAATTCAGAATAATTGTGAATCGAACTTACAGGAAAGTTCCTCCAGAGAAGCAGAGTACCCAGCCCGTTGCCCAGGTCAGTCCCTCGTCGCCTCCCAGGTGGTTGCGTCCGAACATGTGGACAATGGTCCAGGTAGCCAGAGCACCAACGGGGGCTGCTAAGCTGAAGAAGGCGAGGTGAGTCCGCGCCTTGCGCTTGGATAGGCCTTGTTTGAGGAGAACGGATGTAAGACCAAATGCAGCGGGTGCCTTGTGGAGCATAATGGCAAAAAAGATGACGAGAGACAGAGATGTGGACTCGGCGGTCGATGAAGCACCCAAAGCAATTCCATCGGCACAGGCATGGACTACGAGACCAATAGTGGCTGCTGGCGTCTTCTTGGTAGGTGGTGGGGGAAGCCCAGGTGTTGCCAAGGGTGTAACAGCCGCGCTCTGCATGCCCATTCCATTCACGCTCAACGACGAAGAATTGTGCGGCCCACGCGCCAGGTTCGACAGAGAAATATGCATGGGCTGGTATTCGGGTTGTCCAGACGCCAGGGCTTCGGGAAGATGTTCGACCAGGAACATGAGAATGTAGCCGAGGATCAACGCGACTCCAATGTACGCATGTGGGCTCGATCCGTCGTCATGACCAGCCTCTGCATGGCCATGGGGCTTCTCCTCGTCTTCTGGTGCGTGAACACGAGTGTGTCCCTCCTTGTGGCCTTCAGTAGAATCATCGTCTCCTCCCTTTTGTGGATGCGGGTCCTCGGTAGGCTTCTCCGCCTGCCGTGCGTACTTGGCCTTGCTCATCTGCAATTCAATGGCTCCACCAATGTCCTTTACATCTACCTGGTCTGCCCTCTTCCATGCGGGGAACTCGGGCGCGTGTAGTAGGTCTCCTTGCAGGCTCCTCGCTGATAGAATGGCAGGTTGGGCCACACTGCGCACACTACGCGAGTGCGCATGCGTCTTCATTCCTGCGCTGTACATGGTCTCAATGCCCTCGGGAATGATGACGATCAGCGATGTTCCCACTAGCACGCCAGTGCCAAGGAGAGTCATGGTGCGCAGTTGTCGTGTGGACAGGTTAAAGGAGAGAGGGAGGATGCCGGCGAGGAATGAGCTGGAGCCGTTAGTGCATGTAAACTGCGACATATTCAAATACATCTACGTACGCAATGCCCATTACCGTGCTCAGCGCGAGCAACATGAAGAGTCCGTCCCACATTTTGACAATGTATGGAGTGTCGTCTCCCTAAAAGCGGAGGAGCGAAGAGAAGGATGCGCCTGCTATGCAAAAGAAAAAAAGAGCGAACAATTTCAGCGCTTCAATCAACACTGCCCATACCCCTCGAGTAGTCGGCCGTGTCAGTGGTGGGGTGTGGTTTGGTGTGGGCGGTGTGGTCTGTTGTCGTGGACGTAGCCGCAACTTTCTTGAGGGCTTGGGGTTCCACGCACTTGTCGGCAAGGCGCAGGGGCGGCCGTCATGGCGTAGGGCTGAGCTAGACGCGTCTCCCGTCGCGCTAGTCGTCTACCACTTTGCGCGCAAACTACCCAGCACAACCACTCTCACTTACTTGGTGATACTGTTAACAGTACATCGCGAGATCGTTTAGTATCTGCTGAGTGTAGCCGAGCCATTGTTTCTGCGATTCAAACCCACACACTATCGCGATGGCGCTTGATCTGGATGAATGTACGTGCTTTGCGCAAAAGGCTTCCACGATAGTAGTCTTGACAGCTTATACAATCCTCGTACTAATATTCTCTAGGGGTTACCAACTCAAACGAATGTTTTCACCTCAATCTTTACCGCACGGCCAACGAGGACGGCCCTGAGCGCATTCTCGAATCCTTCAATCCCAGCTATACATACACCCTCATCGAGGAGAATGAGACCATCGCGGGGTACAAAAACCCCAGCATCGAACTAGATTTCCGCGCCAACGACCTGAAGCCAAAGCTGAAAATCTCGTTTGACCAAGAACTCGACCTCAAGAAGATTTCTCCAGATCTAAACCAGGTCAACCTATCACCAGAGCTGTTCCGCGAGTATCTCCCAGAGTCCATTGGCGACGCTGCTAGCGCGACTCCGGCTGACTGGAAGCCGCCTGGCGAGCTCGCCAATGCCTTCACTCTATACGGGAAACAATATGAGATATGGAGGGCCTCCATGTCAGATCCCGAGGCGCGGCGCATCTGGACAAACATGAGAATCTTGGCAATACTGTTTATCGAAGGCGCCACAACGAATGGTTTGGATGACGAGGAGACTTTGGATCGTTGGACACTATATCTACTGTACGAGGTGACCCCGCTGGAAGACAAGACATTATCGCCTTATACACTGGCTGGTTTCTCCACGACCTACCGCTCTTGGATCTTCCCTACATTCGAGATTGCGCGGGCTACAAAGCAGCTGCCTTCGCCTGCTGAAAGCGACAGCGGCGAGACTGGCAAGTACACGCCACCTCGTCTACACCAAGACCCCGAGACTTTCCTCTTCACCGACAAACTCGACCTTCTCCAAACACCGTCACGAGAACGTATCTCGCAATTCCTCGTCATTCCTCCATATCAAGGCCAATCGCTTGGAAGCCGGCTCTACGACACTATTTTCCACGATCTAGTGTCCAAGCCCTTCATCTACGAGATTCCCGTAGAAGATCCTAGTGAGGCGTTCGATGCAATGCGAGACTACAGCGATATTACGTATCTTCGCACTTTGCCTGCATTCCAAAACCTATCGGTTGCTTCAAACCTGCCCCCAGAAGCCTTGAGAAAAGACTCGCCTATCCCGCGAGACCAAATTCTTGGGAATGGAACAGATCTCGAAGAACTCCGAAAAGAAACAAAGATTGTGAGCAGGCAATTCTACAGAATGGTTGAGCTGCATCTGTTATCAACCATTCCTCCAAACCACCGCAGTCGGTCACGGATTACACGCAAAGCGAAATCAAGCAATGAAAACGACAGAAGATACTACTTCTGGCGTCTAGCCCTAAAACACCGTATTTACAGCCAGAACGCCGACGCTTTGGATCAGATGGAGGATACCGCTGAGCGCGTCGAGAAGCTAGAGTCTGCAGTCGACAGTCAGCAGGAGGAGTTTGAGGAGCGTCTAGAGGGCCTTGAGAAGCGCCAAAATCTGGCAGTTGATACCACATCTGCTTTTCCAGCTGGTGCGAGGGGTAAGAGGAAACGAGCAGTTGTGCTTGATGATGACGAGGATGACGAGTGGGAGGATATGGAAGAAGCGTCTGTTGCGAGCTCAAAGAGGATGAGGTCGTAAAGAGTTGGTCTGATGCTAGGAGTTGAGTTATAGTACCTGATGCTTTGGACACGATTCGAACCTATCTAGGAAATCTCAGACTCGAATAGTGATTAATGGCTTGGGCAACATGCCAATTAATATCGCTCTTTCACAAGTGTCCCCAAATACGGCAGACCATACGTCCGGCGATTGTAGGCTAATCTCCGCGCGGGGCAACCTACCCCACGCCCAAATTTTGGGAGAATGAACATTCACACGACCAGCATCACAACTTAGAAGATATACGAATAACACAACGACTGAGAGGTCATATAATCCCACCGTCGCAATGTCAGACCGACAATTTAACCTCACCGTCCTTATCTCAGGCAATGGCTCTAACCTGCAAGCCCTTATCGACGCATGCGCATCTGGAGCGCTACCAAACACTCGCATAACACACGTCATATCAAAGTACGAAAGCCCTTGTGTTTGCATATTTGAGCATAGCTAACACGAATTCGCAGTCGCAAAGCAGCATACGGCCTCGAACGCGCCGCCAAAGCCTCAATACCAACAACGTACCACAACCTCGTTCCATACAAAAAGAAGCATCCAGATGCCATTGACACAGCCCGCGAACAATACGATGCCGACCTCGCGAAAATCATTCTCGACTCGAAGCCGCGCCCCGATCTCATTGTATGCGCCGGTTGGATGCACATTGTCACGCCATCTTTCCTCACCCCCATCGCCGCCGCCAACATCAAAATCATAAACCTGCACCCCGCACTGCCCGGCGAGTTTGCCGGAGCAGGCGCAATCGAGCGGGCGTGGAAAGCTGGAAGAGAGGAGGGCTTGAAGAGAACGGGTGTCATGATTCACGAGGTGATTGCCGAGGTGGACGCCGGCGAGCCAGTGTTAACAAAAGAAGTAGAGTTGAAGGAGGGAGAAAGTTTGGAGGCGCTAGAAGAGAGGATTCATGCTGTGGAGCATGGAGCTATCGTAGAGGGAACGAGGAAGACGCTGGAGAAAATCGGGCGGGGAGAGTAAAGGGGGGATTATGGGATGGATGTATGATACCCAAGATGTGAAATATTAGAATGAAAACATGGCATGAGGATTCAGTGACGAAACGTAATTTCTTTTCGATGATCTGGGTTTCGCAGTGAAGGAGTTTTTGACGTTTAGTGCCAAAGAAGCTTCCCGTGTTTAGCAAGATCCAGCTCGTTTCCTCCATAGCAAGACTCGTGGTCTACTCTTGGGCACCCCCGTACACATTTGCCATCCTATTTCTAATCATTTCTGCTTTTGCCACTGATCGGGGGAGTACGTCACATGTGAACTCCTTCGGTGCCAGCTCGATTCCAGGCTTTGGTTTTCAATAAGTGTCAGCGTTCTATACAATTCAATTGGAATCTGTTGACGCTTACTCTTTCGTACGTATCGAGATCGTACCCGCCAGTCCCTGAATCATCTTTTTTGAAGTCAAATGCCCAAAGAAAGTTCATTATGGTCAGTGCCATATTTTGGCGTGCTAGTGCCTCTCCTGGGCATGCTCTGCGACCGGCTCCGAATGTAAAGTTGTTCCGATACCCTGTCATGTCGACCCCCGGTTTCGTGCCAAACTCAGTCTTGAGGAATCTTTCAGGTCGGAATTCCTCTGGGTGATCGTAGAAATCTGGGTCATGGAAGATACCGTGAACATTCATGAAGATTACAGAATCCTTTGGTATGCGGTAACCTTTGTAACGCACTTCTTCCGTACTGACGTGGGGAATGGCAACTGGGGCCGACGTTCTGAATCGAATGACTTCGTCGACAATTGCACGAATATATGGGACGTTTTCGTAGTCTTTCAGCCTTGGCCAGCGGTCAGGACCCACAACTGTATCTATCTCTTCTTGAGCTTTTCGCTGAAATTCAGGGTAGTTGATCAGTGCGAGGACCAAGGAGTGGGTAAAAGTTGCAGTTGTTTTCACTCCACCGTCCATCAGAACCGCGCCTATGCCAATGATCTCGTCTCGACTCATGCCAGATTTGGCTTGATTCGATATCAGTGAGTCCATGTAGCATCCTGTGAAATTCTTTTGCTTAACTGCCAGCTCGCATTGCGCAAATAAGGAACCGTATAGCTCATCTCTAATTGCACGCGTTGAGTCCGCGAGCCGTTTCCAATATGCCCATCGTTTAGGTACGTATTGAAGTGGCCAGAAAAGATCGACTGGAGGGTGCGTACCAGGATCTAGAGATTCACTAAAAAGCTTAATTCCTTGGAAGTATGTCTCTGCAATTGAGCCTTCATATTTGGCTACACGTACGCCATAGATGTTCGTAAGAATGGCTGATGCAGTTGAACGGCAAACGTGGCGGTAGAAGTTCTTTGGATCTTCCAAAAAATTGTACATACATTGCGAGATTTCGTCTTCTTGAATTCTCAAGTGTTTCTCAAGGCTACCCCGGTTAAGAAAGTTGCGTATAACTTGACTGCCACGCTTCCAAACTGGGTTTTCCATGTTTTCTAGGAACATACTCCAGCCTTTTGTTACACGGTGTGCAATCTTGGATCGAGGCCGATTTCCGGTACGAGCGCCATCGATATCAAGAATCTGCTTCACAGCTGTCGCTGAAGAGACGACGATTATAGTGCGATCAAATATCTTTAGTGAAAAGATATCGCCATACTGCCGAGTCCATTCCAGGAACCTAAAACATTGAGCTTAAACAAGTCTCAGCAAAGATGAAGACATACTTGATGTGGGGAAAACTAGTGGGAAATTCCAGAGCGTTTCCCAGAACAAGTGTCGTTTTTGGGCCTGGTGGCATATCTTTGTCGCGGGTTCCGACATTGCGAAATTTGAGAAACAGCAGCACTAGAAGCACGATTGCGATGCCTCCAAGTGGAAGGGAAGGCAAGCTAGAATTCATTCCAGGCGACACAGAGAGTAATTTCATTGCAGTTCTTGGAGGGAGTAGATTTATGGTCGCTGGACTTGACACGATTCCTGTTCTGCAATATTCTTAGTTTGATTAGTCAAGATGAGTAAGGTAGCACAAGGAATAGAGATAGGAAAAGCTCAAGAATCTCAACAAAACGATACTTTCTAAGAGCAGATAAGTATTAAGAAGGATTTCAATATGAAAAGAAACGCGGAAAGCTTTCCTAGTGGTGCTACGAGTTTTTGTAAAGATAGTGGCGGTATACTCTATCTCGTTAGTTCTATCCAGCTTATCGCTGCAATTGCCGACAATAGTTATTTGCCAGAAGTACAGTGCAACGACATCAAACTATGGGTTATTGTTGGCTTGAAGGCTCAAGCAGTTCTTTTTTCTTTCTATCCAGTTCTCAATTGTCCTTTCTAGCTAGTCACATTATCAGACTTGGCGGCAATCCATCTGCGCAGTCGTATGATTGTTTCTTGAGTGATTTGCTTTGTTGAATCGTCTCAAAATCGCAGGTAGCTAGAAGATAGCCGATCAACATACAAAATATAAAGTTGATTGGATTCATCCGTAGATTAATTACGCTTCTCTTGCATACAATTTCATCTTTCAGATGACATGACCGCCATAAAGTCACCCGAAGGATGTCAATTACTATGTACCATTGACCTTGTCGGGATTGCAAACAACATTTATAGTTACGATGTTGAGCAGGCTGGTGGCTGGAAAAGTGTCGCTTGTAATCTTGTTGAGGTTGTACTACGTGAAAGAGGAAGAGGCGTAGAGGATGCAATGGATGTCATGGGAAAGATGTATCGCGATCTCTTCCTTTCCCTTAGCGATGATTACAATGATCTCCCGACCTTCAAAGATGCCGAGCAGGATCAGGTTCTCAAAGAATACGCACTAGGCATGTTGGATTGGGTTAAGGCCAACGTGGAATTTTCGCTTGGTGGTCAGAGATACTTTGGATTAGAAGCCGGCTCAGAAAGGACAAGGGTTGAACGTATGGTCGAGCTCTTGCCACAGAGAGGATAAGTCACCGCATGAACTAGCGTAAACCTTGCATAATCAGAGCAAAAATTTGACTTTCTCTCTATACTTTTCAGGTTTTTGAAAGTGTCGCTGAAAGCAATAATACTGATCTAGTACTATCGTTCGGCGAACTCGAGCGCGCAATGACGTCACGAACAACCCGCGCAAATATCTCTTCGCAAACACTATCTTCTCTATTACCATTGCTACCCCTAAACAAACCAACACCATGTCGTCCACAGCATCTAACCCAGACAAAGAAATAGACGCGCGCTCCACATCCGCGCTCGCATCCACCCGACGCAATCTACGCTACCTATACGACCCCAAAACCGCCCCCAATGCTGTTTCATCGCGGCGCACACGCGCGCTGCTACGGGTCCTAAGATCAAGCATAATTTTTGTTTTCTGGCGAATAGTACGGTATGCCAAGTACGTTGCAATCGGTTCTCTAGTAGCAACGGTGGGCGCAGGGGCTTTTGGCACATTTGTTAGTGGTGCGGGTTTTGTGCTTGCGCCTACGGGGATTGCGGGCACAATTTTTGCGGCGACGGTGTGGGGGATAGGTCGATATGCGATTGGAAAAGTGAAGAAGAGATGGGGGATGGGCAGTGGTTATGAGGATGAGGAAGAAGAGGAGTTGCGGGAGATGAGGAGGAAGAGGACGGCCGCGAGAATGGAATATGGCGCGGATGCTATGCCTTGGTGATGGGACTTTTACAGTTGTCAAGAGGGGGTTTATACAGTTGGGGTGATTTATATGCTACAATTTCTAGCCTCTGGACGAATGTGAGATATGGCATCGAACACTCGATCACGGCACCTGCTGTCGCTGTCACATACATATTTCGGGCACCATCGAGGCGTATGCATCAATTTCTCTTGGTGCCTTGCTAAGAAAAGGGAGAGGAACAAAAACGGAATAGAGGACACTCGAGAAACAGAGTATCGTAGCGACAAACACCTATGGATACCAAAAAGAACAACCGAAATTTCTGTTTCGTTCATCCGGAAAAGACTGTATCCGAAATATCTGGGGTCCGCGGAGTGGTGGTGGACAGGTCATCAAGCCGAAACAAGCAAGACGTGGGAATCATCAGTGGTTGAAAATGACAGCGTCAACGACGAAGCTCTGTGTACAAGGGTATGTTAGTAGGCGCCCACCTGACACTACAATCTGTAAACATCCTACAAGTTGTGTTTTCAGTATACCCATCTTCCAAAGATTGGTGTACACCCAATCAACGAAAGTCGCCAAGCTATCTTGTTATTCGTGTATACATTAATCTTTTTTATTCCAATACCCAATTTAATACCATCAAAGTCATTTGCACGATACACAAACCCTTGATCCATGCACACCCTGTCACCCGACACCAAGTCTCTATCCACACACACACACACGCCATGTGACCAAAACACAAAGTATGACACGTTCAATATTTCTTTCTTCCCCACAACCCAAGACAACCTCCCGGATTATATCAAAAGCCCAAAACATAATAACGTAATATGCGATAAATTACTCCTGCCAACCCCAAGCCCGGCGCCCAGCCCCCAATCGCTTGACACGAAAACTCAAATCACAGAGATTTGCATTTGGCGACAACACCACGCATCCCTGGTAATAAACGTGTTGCTAATGAACAAGGTTGCATTAATCTAATTCAACACTGACAAACTCCTGATATCCCTATTACTCCACCTTTGCCTTGGGCCCCCCCTTTTATTGCATAGACCTAGCCACACACACACACAACCACAACGAACAAAAAAAATTATAGTAAAAAAAATCCAAATATTGCATTTTGATTTCGCCTTCCGTTCTTCAGAGCGTGTGCACATTTGCATACATGAATGCAATCCAATACATAATCCCATAGTTAAAAAGATTTTGGCTTGCGAAATCAGTAAATGAGAAAAAGAAATGACCGAAATCCCCATCCATCCTCTTTCCATAACCGTTACAGAAGTCTCTGCAACTGGCATTTCATTGCGTTCCAATAACAAATGAGAAAGAAGATGGGTGATGGTGGTAAGTTATGAGTGATATATATGATAAGATATAGAGAGAAAAAACATGCCTAGTTTGATTTCGCGCCACAAGCAAACAAACATACAAACAACGCCCTTACAGATGCAAAAAAAAGCCAACAGAAAGAAGTTAGGAGAATTTGAACAAAGGCCGAAATTTCGATTTGGGATGGGGGGATCGTGCCTATTGTGTGTGTGTGTCTTCCATGGTATCTGAACAAAAAAAGAGAAAGAAAAAAGAGAAAGAAATGTAAATAAAGGTGGAAGACTTTGAAAAAAACAACACTTTCGGTTGAAATATATGTGTAAACATGGAGGTGGGACCGCTTCATGTACATTTTTTTGTGTGGTTGAACAACAAACAGGCGCCAATTTTTCTCTCTCTTTGTGTGTGTGTGTGCTCGTCATCGTAATCATAAACCACCGCCACACGAGAAGGGGGTATATAATTGTGTGCCCAGGTGTTCTGAGTATGATGCCGCAACGAGGCGAGTTTGATTCTCTAGAGTCGAGGGCCGTTGCAAAATGCAAATTCCAGCTCTGAGCCCATTGCATGTCTCTCTGATGAGAGTTGGATGCTTCGCTCGTACATGCCCCTTGTTTGTTGTTGCTGCTGTGGCAGCGGCGGCGGCGTGAGTGACGTTGTAGTCTAGGACTAAATAGTTTTTACTGCTCCGATTATGCTTCACCGTTTCTCCCATATCAGTTATGGATCTGTTACGTCGTCCATGGTAACGTCGCCGGCACTTGTGTCTTGTACTAACGGCGAGGGTGCAGGGAGAATGGCAGACCGTGGACGATTATAGTCGACTTCGAGACGATCAGGCATACTTGCTGGGGTAGACGATCGCGAGTCGTAATCTTCTTCAGCGGGCGGTGAAAAGTCCCATACCTAGTCAGCCTTGTTAGTATCATAAAATCATGTCCAATGTTTTCGGCTAGCTCACCTCCATGATGGTCCGACCGCCCCGACTAGCCATAATGACAGCCTTCTCTTCCTCAAATACCACCCTCCAGACAGCCTCTGCAGGGCTGCTCAACTCTCGCACAGGAACGCCAGTCTTGAGATCCCAGACCTTGACACGGCCATCGCTACCGCCGCTGACAATTCTCGTATTGTCAAATTGCAGACTCGTGACGCTGTTGTCGTGCGCGGCTAATCGGTGAATGGCTTGGTAGGTTGCAAGGCTCCACACACGGACCGATCCGTCTGATCCACCAGTCACAAGGATATCATCACGCATTTGAAGCTGTCCAACAAGCGAGGTGTGGCCCTGTAGTACAGCAAGACATTTACTGCACGGGAATATTAGTCTCCAATCATATCGTGACACAAAATCGGACTTACCCATCATTGGGATCCCATATGCGGACGCTGGTGTCCAAACTTCCTGTTGCAATCTTCTTGCCGTCAAAGGCAATGGCATAAATCTGGCTAAAATGTCCGGTCAATGTGCGAAGGCACTTGCCCTCTGATATGCTCCAAATCTTAGCTGTAGTGTCATAGCTTCCGGACACAACAATGTCACCGTGTATCTCGAGACACCGGACGCTGGCTTGGTGGCCAATAAGTACGTGCTTGCACAGTCCCTTCTTCAGGTCCCAGATGCGTAGTGTGGTGTCCCTGGATCCGGAGATGGCCGTATTGGCATCGGACATTTTCAGGCATCGCACTGTTGACGTGTGACCACGGAGGGTGAATTGTGGAAAACTGTGTATGCAGGTTAGTGACTGATAGTAGTTGGAAGCGCAGAGACCGTACCCAGTTGCAAGATTCCAGACGCGCACATCGCGGTCGCATCCTCCACTGACTAGGAGATCGCCCCACGGCACCATTGCCCACACGCCCATGACGTGTCCTTGGAGCGTCTTTTGGTGGTCGCCGACGGTATCGAATACGTGTATCTTGGCATTGTCAAGCGCAACAACAATGTACTTGTTAGTCAAATGTAAGCTAGTCACCACGCCCTGGTCCGGGGTGATCTGTCGCGCGTCACACACTCCGCCGTTGCGCCATGCAGTCTCCACCATATACCGCTGCTTGAAATGTGATCGATATGTAGTGGCCTGCTGCTTTCGTTGCGATGGCTTCCTCTTAGCTGCACGGTCGAGGCTTTGCGTTCGCAGTCCTTCTGGACTGCTATTTGAGGGTCCGACTTCAAGGTGGTCGCGTGCCGACGATGCATCGTCCAGCCTGGCCGTGCGCTCATCATCGTGCCACCACGGCTTCGACTCTGCATCTTCCATTTGGTCGGTTGGCTCATCTTCTTCCATGTTGTCCTGTTTTGGTAGCGCTCTGAAGGAGAACTTTTGGCAGAGCAACCGCCAAGCACTGTCGTCATTGACTAGCTCACGCCATTTCTTGGATACTTGCGATGCCCGAGCCAGAGTGGTAGGGTCATCTACACATTCGAGTATCTAAGTGAGGTCAGCCATGTGTACCAAGGTAACAGAACGAATCAGAACGCACTCTCAAACAGAGTTCAGTGGGCAGGACCATGAATGGGTCCTTCTTTAGTCTGGGACTGACAAACTCGGCAACGAAGCTCAACTCTTGGCTGTCGCACAGGTTGAGCAGCTCGCCGAGCAGCCGCATGCGCTCTGCCCGGTTCATATCGCCAAACTGTGCCCGTATGCTCTTGATATCGCCATCTTCGTGTTCGGCGGCGGTACTCCAGTCCGGCACCCGCTGCGTTGGCGTAGGACTTGGCGCGGGTGTGGGCGGCGAGGCGGGCGCCGAGGGTAGCAGATTATGGGGAATCGTCGAGGAAAGAGGACTGGTGGGTGTGATTATGGGCCTGGGTGCTCCTGAGCGAGACATGCGGCCTTTGCGCCCGTGGACGCTGGGTGAGGTGTACATGGCGGATCGCGAGGATGAGGCTGTTGCGCTGGCAGAGGCGGCCATGTCTGTGTCCGAGTCCTCGATGGGGGCGCCGGCAGCGTCCTGGTCTTCTCGCACCGGCGCGAAGTAGTCGGGATCCATGGCGGAGTCGGTGGGTGCAGAGCAGAGCAGAGCAGACCTGGGCTGGTGTGGTCTGACGCTCCCTATGTATGTAGTGCGGCAGTCGGGGCAGAAGGGGTGGGCGGCGGATTGGGAATGTCACGAGGCAGTGGATTAGCGGAGGGGATATGGGATTCAAAAAGTCGACGGCATCCGGGCACACGAGGGTTCGAGAAGGGAAGAAGGTTTGCAGACGTTTGGGGTGGGTAGGCGCGACTGAGTGACGCCGGCGGTCAGCCAAGACATCACTGGCTCAGCCCTGGAAACCTCAGACCTCGCCCATTCCCATTTCAAGCTTCTGCTCACAATCCTTGCATGCGCACTTGGGGCGAAGGAGCCTAGTTTGCACACTTACTTAATTCTCCTCCGCCGCACGCTGCCTGCCCGCTTGGATGCCATGCCTTGTGTATCCCAAAATTAGCCTGGTGTCTGCATGTCGTCAAACGCTCAGGGGATCATGCGGCGTCTCAAAAGCACCACATGGACTCGCAAGGCCTTTGCGAACGCCACTTTGCCCCGTTCCCAGGCCCGGATCGACGAACGCAAAACAAACCCTCAATATTAATTCTCTGCTTGACCTTTGCGGCAAGGGGAAGCGTGACACTGCCGTCCTGCCTGCCAAGTGCATCATGGCTGCGTTGTCCTGTTATTTCCATGTTGCACCTCTCCAAACACGGTGCAACACCACCACCACCACCACCCATTGGCACTACGGCGCTTAGAGCTACCGCCTGTACCGGGCACCCACACGACATTCCTCCTCGAGTCCACCCCATCCCACATTGTACCGGTCCATTGTGTCCATGTCTTGTTGTTTATCATGTTCATGCGGCTGCTCGACACCTCCTTTTGCCCACCTGGCATGGTTCCCTGTCCGCCCATGGACGGTGCACGGTTGCCATAGGCGAGCGGCTCAATGGAGCCTCTATCCATCGTCGGAGCTCGAGAGGTAACCGAGCCCGGGTGCTTCCCTACAGTTTTACGTTCTGGCCATTGTAGACCCACCTGCCAGGTATTTTTGTACCTGAACTAGGTCCATTTGCCGGACATTGCAACAGGCCACTATGTCCAAGCCCCGGCTGATCGACCTTGAGGTGTGCAATTCATAGAATAGATCGGACTTGGTAATTTGTTTTTCCCAAGCCTGGTGCCGCAAAAGCATCATCAGCATCTGCGACGAGGCAGTTGACGACACCCTTTTTGAGATTGAGGGAAGATGCTAGCCTGAGAATACGTCGTGTGTTTCAAGGAGCGAAGTCTGACCCAGGATCAGGTTGACGAGACAAAAAAACACTAATGGCTATTGAGGCTCTAGAGTATTGTGTAGAAAAAAAATCGAGAGTACGCGCAAAGGCACCGTCGCGTTCCCAAAGAGGCTTGGCACGATGGGGGTCGCTCGAGGAAGCACGCCATCTTCTTGCGACGTCATTGGGTCCGGCATAGTCGCATTTCTGTTACTTTCGCGCGTTGCTGTTTGTAATCCAGAGCTCAGCATTGTCATGGAACTTGTGTACTTCGCCTCTACCCTCGCATTACCTCTGTGCTCGACCTGCGAGCGCTGTGGGTAGCAGACAACAATCATGAGCGTCCCCCGCAATCTGCTTACTCGCGCGCGCCCATTGACATTCGCGTCGTCTACCCCACAATGTTTCGCACCGAGGCCAACCCACACTTCCCTAAGGTTTGCGAGACGCCAGTCGAATCAACCTGCGCGACAGATCCACAATCAGTACCCGCGCAAAGCCCAGCATGCCTCATCTGCTCATGAAGTCGAATCGTCCAACCCCGCTCTTTCTTTTCCTTGTCTGGATGCCCACGAGTCGCGCTCTGCATCACTCTCGAGGAAACGGTCGTCGTCTGGTCCTGAGCCCTCGTATACATCCGGCCACACGCTCAACTTCCACTCGACACAGCCAATACTCCTTGATTGGGGCGGCATACTGCCAGAGTTCAACATTGCATATGAGACATGGGGACAGCTGAACTCAAGCAAGAGTAATGCAATCTTACTTCATACTGGTCTTTCGGCGTCCAGTCATGCCCACAGCACCGACACGAACATGAAGCCAGGATGGTGGGAGAAATTCATTGGGTCAGGAAAGCCACTGGACACTGACAAGTACTTTGTCATTTGTACCAATGTAATTGGAGGTTGCTACGGCTCGACTGGTCCCTCGTCCATTGACCCTGCCAATGGCGAGCGCTACGCAACACGATTTCCGATTCTCACCATGGAAGACATGGTGCGCGCGCAGTTTCGACTGCTAGATAATCTAGGCATCCAAAAGCTGTATGCAAGTGTGGGTTCAAGCATGGGTGGTATGCAGAGCCTGGCTGCTGGGACTCTATTCCCCGAACGGGTAGGCCGTGTAGTTAGCATCAGCGGGTGTGCCCGCAGCCACCCCTACAGCATCGCCATGAGGCATACCCAACGACAAGGTCAGTGCATGAAATCTGGTCGCCGTGTGTACACGAGCTAATGTTACAACAGTGTTGATGATGGACCCAAATTGGGCTCGAGGTTTCTACTACGACGGCATTCCTCCACACGGCGGCATGAAGCTTGCTCGAGAAATCGCTACAGTTACCTATCGTAGCGGTCCAGAATGGGAACAGCGGTTTGGCCGGCGGCGCGCCGACCCTTCACGGCCCCCAGCGTTATGCCCAGACTTTTTGATTGAAACATATCTTGACCATGCGGGTGAAAAATGGTGTCTGGAATATGACCCCAACAGCTTACTCTACGTCTCCAAAGCCATGGACCTCTTTGACCTCGGCCAAGAACATCGGAATCGCATCAACGAAGTGCGCAAGGCCAACAGCGGAAAGATACAAGCGTACCTGGATGGTCAGGGTACAGGCAGCGATGCCAATAGCGATGCCTGCAGCTTGACATTGCCTGATGAGCCGTACGAAGAGAAGGAACAGCCAGTGGAGCCGGAGTCACTGACGCAGACGGACGGCAATGAGCCCCCGGCAGATCTTGTGGCGGGCCTCAAGCCGCTGGCGAATACGCCGGTTCTGGTGCTGGGTGTTGCGAGTGACATTCTATTTCCCGCGTGGCAGCAAAAGGAGATTGCAACTACGCTAAGGCGGGCGGGTAACAAGAATGTCAGGCATATTGAGCTGGGCGAGGAAAAGAGCTTGTTTGGTCACGACACGTTCTTACTGGACCTGGAAAACGTTGGTGGTGCTGTTCAAGAATTCTTGGGCTGAGTGCAGTGTCTGCTCTAGTGGACTCTCTTGTTGTGTATGTATATTCTACTTGCATCGCAGGGCGTTGTCTCGCAGCGGTATCAAAAGTATGTGTCGATGCACCAAACTTCAAAACGACTCTTTTGCATCATTGCTCAATCCATCTCTTTCGGTGCTACGATTCATAAGTCCTGTCTCTTTGCTACTTTGCGCGTGGTACTTCCTGGCTCACTTTCATCCCCCGCCATTCTGCACTCAAGGCCTCTGGGACCCACTTGCATTCTGTCACGCCAATGTGCTCGCGGACATAGTCTTCCAGCACCCTGGCTCCAGGTGCGTCTGCATAGATAGCCAGGGCACCAACGCGGGGGATATGCAGGCTGGAGGCAAGTCGGCTTTCTGCCAGTGTGGGCAGAGGGACTAGGCGCGTTGCTGTCAGTGGGGCATCTGGCGTAGCAGAAGGTGGTGAGAGGGTGCTTAGATGAACCAAGGTAGGGAGATGGGCATGAGCTGGTGAGAGAGATGGTTTTGGATGGGTGAGTATAACCATGCTCAGAGGCCGCAAGTTGTCGCCAGGGACATGCTGTTGGGCAGAAGCTACGAGTGTCGTCGAGGGCGCCGTCTTTGCTGCCAGGGCCTCGAGGTGCCGGGTGACGCTGTTGAGGCCAATGAGTAGGTGGTTGCCTATGGGTGGTGGAGGCGGTGGGGTCTCGGTGGTGGAGTCATCTTGATCCGGTTTGGTGGTGGCGCGCTTCCGCTTCTTGCCTTTGGATGGGTGCATGTGGGTTCTGCGGTAGTCGCCTAGCGGCGCGATGAGGCTGGTGGTGGTTCGTCAGTGACTGTGCAGGGGAGAAAATTGTGCAGGCTGGCACTCGAGTGGTTTTCCTGCAGCACATTGCGTACCTACTTGGACAGCATTTCGAGAACGACCAGCTCGTCGTCGTGTGATAGCTCTGGCCTGCACCGCTCAGCAATGCCCGTCAGTCAATTCGTTGGCGGGGGTACCCAGACCATTGAGTCTCTGTGAAAGGCGACGCCGTTTTGACGACGGGCTTGGTGTTTTGTTTAGCAGCGGGCGCCATGACGAGAGATGGATGGTGAGTTTTTTTTCCCTGTTGTTTTCCCGCAGCGTCCCAAGGAGAGGTGGGCAGTGACAGAGTCAGAATCAAGGGACAATGTCACGCCTCGAAGGGCCCGAAGTGCGTCCGACGGCGACCAGCAATCGGGGTCGGGGTGTGTGTCTGTTTGAGTGAAGGGCCCTGGTGGATTTGCGGGCGTGCCTGCATTAGAAGGAGGATTTGTCCAAGTTGGGCGGGCATGGGCTATCCTGGTCTCCGGCTAGTGGTGGGTTCACGCCAAGTGCGGGAGCCAATGACGATGGTGGGGCTGTTTGGCTGAGCTGCATTGCATCTTCCTGAGGGACCACCGAATTGGACAAGACACACATATCGCCTTTGCCACTGTCTGCCGTGAATTCACAATTCCACCACCCGTCTCGCCCAAAGCTTGCTGCTGCGGCCCATGACCATATCCGCGCTGCATTTCCTTTGGCTGCGCGCGAGGACTCGGGCTAGCAAGGCTGGCCAGACTGTTGCTGTTGCCGCTGCTTCTGCTGCTGCCTGCATCAGAGAAGCTCCTGCTTGCTCCCTCTGCCTGGCCACACCTAGTTCCTCTGCCCTCAGTCGCACTTGTCTTCTTTCACCGTCATGACCGCGCAGGACAATGACCTAGTGCAGTCTGTCGCTGCCGACCAGCCAGCAACAATCGCCCCCGCCTCGCGCCGTGATCCCATTGAAGACGCCGACGCGAGCTTCACCCGCAAACGCCCCCGCCTGCACGGAAGCAACAGTCTGTGTGCCATGTCCACAGAGGCCCATACCCCGGACAACCACGTAGAGATGACCATACGCTCCCACCCGCCCTCTTCCCCGGTGCGCGCTGGGGACGACCACGACCACAGTCATACAGGTGACGTTGCTGCCAGCAGTCCTTCGCCTGCCCCGGTCCACTCGCCTATACTCATCCCTAGCTCCGATGACGAGGGTGCCAGCCCTCCTGTTATGCTTGTCAACGACGAGGACGATGACGAGGACAGCAAAGACAAGGCTGTCAGCCCTCGTGTCATGGTTGTCGACGACGACAACGACGAGGATGACAACGACGTAGTCGGCCTTGCCCTGCACATGAACCCCGAGGACCACTTCTGCCGGTTTCCCTACTCTCATGTGGGTAGCTATACTAGTGTAGTCCGTGATCTGGCTCAGCATGTGCAAGATAGTGCGTTCTTTGCCAGGCCTACTAGTCGGCCCTTCGTGCTAACAATCACCAGTCGATAATGATATTGATGCCGCCTTCTTTCTGGGCCTTTCGCAATGGCTCGTCAACCTCCCCGATCCCTCGGCGGACGACATGCAAGGCTTTTACGTGAGCAAAGCTGCATTTTGGGACGACTTTGGTCTTTTGGTGCACAAAGTCCTCTCTCGCAGGGTCTCGTTCACACGCCATAACCATGACCATGACCACCGGTTAGGCGATGCGTTTTACAGCTTCTTGAGTGCCTACGTCAGAACGTCTTCTTTTCTCCTACTCGTAGATGTCCTCCTAATTTCCCGGCCGCGGCCTGACGATATATATCCTTTGCCTTTGATCAGCCAAAAACACCTTCGACATTTACATACCATTCTTCGATCCGATAAGGCTCCAGCATACCATATGGTCAGCAAAGAGTATTCAGTAGACATTCGCAAGATGGTTTTGCGATTACAGCAGGACTTTATTGCGGCCAACGGGGCCCGGAACCTCCTTTGGCTAGCCACTGATGCAATCCTTCAGGTGCCCATAGGCACGCAGAATCATATTGCCGTCTTCACCTCGCCTGTGTTGGTCGCATTGGGCTCGTCAATTTTCCGCAGTGCTATTACGAGCAGCGCGCACGACCGGTCCGAGTTTAGTCGCTCCACTCTGCTGTTTCTGGAAAAGTACATGGACGACTTGTTCAACTTGAGCAGAACTGCCGAAGCCAGCATTGCACGAGACTTGGTTCAACATTTTCATGCCTTGCTATTCGAACTTTGCCTCTGGGATAAAGACATAGAAGCAGATCTAGTTGTCAGATTCTTAGACTTCAGGGACCCGGATTCGCCGACTACCTCATCACCTACCGAGACCAACCCTCGCACAGAGCAGCAAGACGAGTATTGCCAAGACCCTGGGTCTCTGGCTGCCCTTGTTGCCAATGCATGGAAATTCAAGATTCTTCGGAAGTACCTTATGAAGGGCAAGATGGACTTGCGTGTAATGAGCATCGGCATGATGGATTCGGGGCTGGTTGAAATTTTCAAGCAATACAGTGATCACGACACCGTACCTAACCATCCAGTCATGAACTACCTATCGGACTTCCTTATCGAAGGAAAAGTTGTTGAATACATCATCAGCGTTGACTCCCATCCACAAATTCTGCAACGCAGTGGCAATATCATTGGGTTTCTTGTGGTGAACCACCGTTGGACAGATAACCAAGCGGACTCCATCTGGAAGACGATTGCAACGAACCCTGACCCACGAGTTGTCTCGGCGACACTGACCATGATGCGAGCTATCCTACACTTAATGAGGGTGACGGATCATTTATATCTCTGCACAAAGCTCTGCGAACTCCCCATTAGCCGTTACACCATCAACATGTTACGGTTCCTCCATGAGTTGAGCGTCAAAGTTGTGGAAAGGGCAACTGCCGAGGACTATGCCATGAGGGACCGGAGGGCAAAGCCTTGGAACGTTTGTGTTCGCGTCATCTGTGATACAGCGTCTCAGAAAGAGACGGACAAAGAGCTCCTGGATCTACACAACGAGGCTATCGAACACCTCCGCGGTTTAGCACCTCATGTTCCTCTCAACGAGCGACTTGCCATTTATCGTGAGTGTGCAGATCACATTAGCAATCACTCTGAAAAGGCGACTGGCAGTGTAAAGGTCATCTATACGCTTGCATCATCACTTCATACAGGTGACGGCTTCTTCTTTCAACAGAATCAGGATGTAACACGCAAGATCTTGGAAGAGATACCGTGGTTAGTTGAAACGGAAAAGAATGCGGAACCAAGTGCATACCAGCCTTTGTCTCTTCGTTATAGACTGGAGCTTCTCGCACTCATGATATGTCGTGCCGGGCCTGCCATGCCTGCTGAGCTCTTCCCAACTCTCTGGGACCACACTGTCGGCTCGCACGCAATTTCTAATAATGCAAGAGATTGGGCATGGGCACAGTTATTCCAGACGATCAAGCTTATTCCAGATAATGAGTATTGTAGGCAACTCGTCTCTTCCTACCTATCGAAGATGGATCCATGCTTCTATACCCCCGGAATGTTCGAATTTGTCGCCAACTACAACTTCCCTACCATTCGCGAGATTGTGACGACCGACGATGGAGTCAAGACAGTGTTGCAAATTCCCGGCGCTGACCTGCTGTGGTCCATGGTCCTTTACTCACCCGAAGGCTCTGTTGAAGATCGGGCTGCGCGTCTTCTCGCCAGCCGCTATGTCCATATCAACGAAGCCGAGGGTGTCACGCTAGCAGATGTGGAGGCTGCCCATGTTGCCCTTGTGGAAAAATGTATGCATGAGATACGGGACGCATGCAAGACCATACGCGAGCCATGTTCTGACGACACAATTCCGACTGTCTCTGATGCGATCCGACACGAAAAGGAAGGGCGTTGCCGCAGAATCATTCTATTCCAAAAGTTACTGCTTGAGCGGCTACGACAGAAACCAGAATTCAATCGCGCCAAGAGAGCGGACTCTAAAATTGACGAGATGGACATACCATACGGAGATGCTATCACAATCCGATTTCAGTGCGCTAATGGCGACCGGCAGGCAGTATCAATGGGCCCAGATCACACTGTGGATGATCTTTACCGCAGGTTATGTTACGTCTCGGGCTACACCAAGCTCAACCTTTTTGCCAAAGGTCATCGCGTTGATGTAGCTGCCCAAGCAGAAGAAAAGCTCAGTGATGTCGACTTTGGAGGTCAGCTTCTACTTCAGAAGGCACCAGAGGCCAAAGTCACTCGCCCATTGTCGGGTTCGGTTGCCGGATCTTCAGTGTTCGAGTCAACTGTGACGAAATACTTTGACGAGTTGTTCTCATTGATGGACTCTAATGATACCATCAGCCAATTGGTATGTCTTTCTTTGGATTTGGATTCTTCCTGCTGACTGGCGTAAGCTATTCGACTACCTCAGCTTCTTCCCGGCTCGTAACAATATACCAGATAGCGTCATGGCCGATGCTGCATCCTCAGAAGGCCTTTTCCCACCAGGGAGGTTTTTCCAGGCAAGATATGCAGCTCTAGCTCTCCAAGATAAGCTGCGTGAGCAGATTAGGAATGTAAGCGGACATCGACTTTCCGATATGAAACATTAGGCTGACAAGCTAGAAGTCGAGCATGGACGAAAGGTTCCTGGGCAAGGCAGTACAACACTTGAACGGAGCGATACTCAATGAAAAACTTATCGGCGGTACCATTTCAAGTCTTCAAGAATTGCAGCTAGCGGCAGTACTCGTAACTGTACTATTGGACTTCCTTAGAGGTAAATGCTCCGCTTACAGCCCATTTGCTGCAGTCAAAAACTTACACAAAATAGAACGACCATCCCCTGATGTCTCAGCCGGATACTTTTCCGATCCAGTTCGACTGGCAGATCGCCTTATGTCCATCTTGTCGATGGCGCTCGAAACCAATGAAGATGCCACCGTGATCCAAGACTGCTATGGGGCCATCATCGAGGCATCGCTACATTCTCGAGCTGTATGGGAAGCTTTTGTCGGACATCCCGAGACACCGCGCTTGCATGATATTCTGCTTCTAGAGGATAGCCGACAATTTGTCAGAGAGCATGTTGCGAAGAAAATTGCGTCCGTATGTGGAGGAGATCTTCCCTCCACTTGTCCGCTGGCCAAAGGTGAAGTCGCTATTCAATTTTGGACCGCTATATCCGCCATTATCCCAAGTTCCGTTCGCCACTCTACACAATCCCAACAACTTTTCGGCATCGCCGACCATGTCTTCCGCGCTCAGGACGAATATAAGCGTGACGAGAATTTACTTCGCGCATGGCTAGCTCAGTGGAGCGATCTGCTACTGGATTACGAGCATAAAGAGGTCGTAGGTCGTGAAGATACTGACTTCGTCGTGTTTGGCCTTACAAAGTTGCTGCTCTGCTGCATATTGTCACTGAAATCCTTCAAACTACCGATCAACGCTGGGAACGTAATGGAGCAGATCTTCAAGAAGTACATATTCACAAAAAGGTACGTCACACTATTGATGCGCTCTGAGTATGAAGATGTACTAATGAGAAATAGTTCACCGGCTATTGGAGCCAGCCAATTGAACGTTCCCATACTACAATCACATTCGAGGCGTGAGATTTACGACTTGATGTTGGCCCTAGTCGATGACAGCAGCACCTACAGCGATCTCCTTCGCCTTGCAGGAGAAGTAGAGCTGGAAGATTGCGAGACGGCACTAGCGACACTGTCCGTCGATCGTTCTATGGAAGTACGCTCCAGCACGGGTTATGTAGGTTTATACAACCCCCGCGCAATTTGCTACGCGAACTCGCTTCTTACTCAGCTCTTCATGAACCTGAACTTTCGCAAGTTCATGCTTGGACTGGAGCTTCAAGAGAGTAATGGCTCCCAAAAACTCCTCCTCGAAACACAGAGACTCTTCACAAATATGCAGCACTCTTTCCGGCGATCAGCTGATCCACGGAGCTTCGCAGCCTGTGTCAAGAACTCAGACCTCATGCCAATTGATATTAGCGTCCAGATGGATGCCGACGAGTTCTACAACTCTCTCTTTGATCAATGGGAACGTCAGCTCATAAAAGAAGAGAGTAAACAGGAATTCCGCTCTTTCTACGGAGGTCAAACCCTCAATCAGATCAAGTCAAAGGAATGTGAGCATGTTTCTGAGCGATCGGAACCCTTTTTCGCTGTTCAATGCGATGTGGTCGGCAAGTCCACGCTACAGGAGAGTCTCCAGGCCTTTGTTAGCGGAGACGTTATGGAAGGCGACAACAAGTACAAGTGCGAGTCATGCGACAGATACGTCGATGCAGTAAAGAGGTGGGTTCAAGGCCCTACTGTTGCTGAGAAAGGCTAACGAGTATAGAACTTGCTTCAAGGAAGTGCCGGACAACCTCATTTTCCATCTCAAGCGCTTCGAGTTTGACTTGGCCGACTTTAGCCGGCGAAAGGTTCACGACCACTTTGAATTTCCACCATGCATTGACATCAATGCTTACCATGTTAACTCTCTCAGCAATCCAACAAAGGCGCATGATGAGGATATTTTTGACCTAGTAGGCGTACTTGTACATACCGGCACTTGCGAGCACGGCCACTACTATTCTTACATTCGTGAGCGGCCCAGTCCGGCTGGAAGCGCGGCTCCCACTTGGGTCGAGTTTGATGACAGTAATGTGGTACCTTTCGATCCGGCAGACATTGCGTACCGAACTTTTGGAGGCATGACCGACGATACTTATAACCGTATGCCCAAGCAATATTCGGCATACATGCTGTTTTATCAACGTCGGACCGCGATTGAAGAAGACCAGCGTAAATGGGTCACCTCAACGAATGAACGGACTTTAAAAGTCCCAGCACCACAAGCTCTTAAGCAGGAAGTTGACGTTAACAACGCACTCATCATCCAAGAGTACTGTCAGTTCGATTCAAACCATACAAAGTTTTTGCGACAACTTCATGCCATGTCACGCACAATCAATCATGGCTCTTGCTCCGAAGACCATGCGCATGTGAGTATTTATATGTAATGGAAAAGCAGTCAAACTAATGCCTTGCAGGAGAAACAGTCGTTGCAAATCGTCCTTACGCATCTTGCTCACATAGCGTGGCGTCACACTACTTCTGATCTCTTCACGGAAACACTGCTTCAGCTTCGACGCTCAGTCCTACCATGCGCGATGTGTTGCAATATATTTCTCAAACACTTCGCTACAGATGAGGGTGCGCTATTCAACATGCTTGTTCGTTGCCCCCACGCCAAGGTTCGCTCTCAAATACGCAGCTTCTTGGTCGATTGTCTCAAGGTATCCCGTGAAAAAGAACCGACTTTGTACGGTCTCGAAGGAACTGAGAACGACATGGATTCTGATTGTTCAACTATCACAAAGGATGGGTTACTTGTAGACATCACCCAAAGACTACGTCAGACTGCAGACGATAGCTATCAAAGCATCCGAGGATGGGACGACTTCTACTTGACCTTGACTCAAGTTGTAGAGATTGGCCATGCTGAGATCACTGTCTTCTTGAACCATGGTTTCCTGGATTTCTGCATCAAGCTGCTTTCCATCCATGTGCATAGGCGCCTGCAAGACGATTACCCAGAGTTTTGGAGGATTCTGAGTAAGAAGGTAGGCATTTACAACCGACTTATTCAGTTTTTCTCGACTCTACTTTCACACATGGATACGAGCCTGCCACTTGTTCCTTCAACGCTGATCGAAAATCGCGGGGCTACGCTTGGCCGAGAACGCCTCAAGTTCCCACTGACCCACCGAGAGCGACAGATGCTATTCTACTGGGATCCAGAACTCAAGGCGATAGCGGTGCTAGATAAGGCCATGGAGATGTTTGACCTGACCAAAGTGGACGCGGAATACTTCTATCCTGGTGACATTGTCAAAACGATGATTGGCTGGACGGACCCGCATGCTCAGTCGAATCTTTTCAAGACGATTAACGACGGCGTAGGTCTGGACCCGCCGTTTTGCGACGCGTATGTGCGAGCGGCGCTATCTTTCTGCGAAACGTCCGCAACAGCCGAGAGCGTTACTAGACTGATCACCACGGTATCCAAAGCAATCGCATCGGCGAATCGACTCGAGGAAGAACGTCTACCGAACGGGATAGCTGTTTTGGACTTCTTCATCGGTCTTCTGAAGGCTGACAACGAGGCACTTTTCGAACAGCGGCATCCATATGTCTTCTTCTATTGGGTCATGGCGAGGAGCCGTATATGGGCACCTGCCCTGCTTCTTAACCCACTAGAGAGTGTACGCCAGAGCGCAGAACTACTAGTGAGCGAGCTCTACAAAGATCACGACTGGCCCACGGACATGGTGGCTTTCAAATGGCGATCACTTCGTGAATTATTGGGCGAAATGATGCAGCGTATTATCTTCGAAAAAGACGCAGGTATGCTGAGGATCCATATGACTCCGCTCATTTCGTGCTGTCAATTCCTCCTGCGACAGATTTTTGAACTGGTACACAGTGAGGATCCAGATCCAAACTTGGATATGTACAGGGACGACGTAAATGACAGTGCTCGTATATACGCTTGGCAAACAGATATTGAGCCGCGGCTACACTCGTGGCCACAAGACGACAGTCGCTTATCAGCAGGGGACCTTTATGACCAGTCGGACTTTGGTAGTGAGTCGGATGTGGAGGAGGTGGCTGGCGTCGAGTCATGATTATTGACTCAGTCTGTTATCTTCAGTGATTCTTCTGTCGGGTCTTGTTCCAATTTCTGGCATCTGGGAGTTTTTTGTTTTCTATTGAGGTGGCATAGCGTGGGGTTGGGTGGCTGGGTTGATTTCATGAACATGATGTACGTAGATATGACGACCTCGAATTATGACTAGTTATCGTCCCGATAGAGAGAAGGCGCTTTCTCATGCGCGAATGCCTTATAGAAGCTTTAGACCTATGATACAAACCTAGTTGGGTGCTTGTAGAGACAATAGCCATCACTCGACACCAGCCGCGTTCTCCACGTTAGACTTACTAGTAGAGTTCGACTAGGTATAGAGATGCCCTGCTAATGAACTGTCGTCTTACAGCAATGGGAGAAATGAGGGCTTAGAGCCCGTTAGCTTTCCATTTTCCGTCTCCGTTTTGTGGTCGTCTTGGGTTTAGAGCTTCCGCAGGGAGAAGGGGGACTTAGCTAACCTATATCCAGATTGAGATAAAAAACAAACTGAGGAGTTATCCATCTGGAGCTCCGTCTGATGACTGGTGTGGCTACGTGGGAGGTCACGTTATAGCCTGGGCCACCAAAATGGTCACAAAACGGAGTTTTCGAAATCCAGCTAGAGGCCCAAAGGCTGGCTAAGAAAAAGGACGTCTCTTTTGCCTAAAGAGGAGAGAACATAGGGCAGATTAGTACTAGATGGGGCTTTATTTTTTGAGCATTTGAGCGCTATCAAACTGAAGCTCCGTTTTGTCCCCTTCTAGACGTCCGTTTTTGTAGACACGACGCCCTTTCCAGCTTCGTTTCCTAGCCAGAGCCTATAATGAGTATGGTGATTGGAAAACGGATCTGGGGGTGAACAGGCTCTCAATGTTTGTTTGCTATACTCATCACTCGACACTAGTCACCTCCTCTACGTTATACTTACTACTCAAATCCGACTGATCATAGAGACATCCCGAAGTGCAGCTGAAATCTCGAAATTAAAGAATGAACTAGAGAAAGACTTAGAGAAACATACTCTCCGCAGACGCCAGAGACAAAGAGCCCGCTTATTTGCGCGTGAATGCATTATAGAAGCTTTTCTTTTTCTTATCGTATCGTTCCTACTTGCGATTTTTATGAGATTCACTTGGCATAGCTTACCCACGATTTCATCATACTAACCCTAGACCTGTAGTGCGAACCCGGTTGGACGGTTATGGAGACAGGGCGAAGATAAGCATCTTAGCCAAGCTTCGTCAGCGTGGTGTCGCGCGTCCCCACACGCAACAACTACGTCATCGCGAGCGGAACTTGCGGCCGGACAAGATTCCCACTATCATTACAACCTAGTCCACAGCTTCGTCATAACGAGGCTTCGATTTTGCAGTCGTGTGTTCTGAGAACTACTGCAAATTACTGGTCTTCTTCTAATTTCACTTCTTCATTCCGATCCAGTTGTCCACTAATTTTCTAGCACTGTCCTTGTTAGCAATAAAAAAGAAGCACGCGACACCACTATACCAGACACAAAACAAGGTACTTTCCAACGCTCGGCCGAGGTGATAGTGCCAACTACGTGCCGGATAGAGCCGTGCTGGAAAAGAAACTCTGGATATTTAAGAGCCGACTGAAACAGAAAGAAAGGCTCTTACAAGCACAGCAGACATCATGGCGAACAAACTAGATGCGATGAAGCCGCAAAGGAAGATTGAACTGTTTTCCGGGTCCTACTTTGCGGCATGTACATTGGGTGGAATTATCGCGTGCGGTCCTACGCATACTATGGTTACCCCTCTCGATCTGGTGAGTAGTGAACTCTTACTACCCCAGAACCCATGTGCTGATGCTTTCCGCGTTTAGGTGAAATGCCGGCGCCAAGTCGACTCTTCCCTCTACAAATCCAACACACAAGCGTGGAAAATGATATACTCTAAAGAAGGTCTCCGCGGCGTCTTCTTCGGCTGGACCCCTACCTTCATTGGCTACTCAATGCAGGGCGCTGGCAAGTATGGTTTCTACGAAGTCTTCAAGTACCTCTACGGTGATAAGCTTGCGCCTGGTGCACCAAAGCAAGTCGTTTACCTTGCTGCCTCTGCTTCCGCGGAGTTTCTTGCTGATATTGCGCTCTGTCCAATGGAGGCTATCAAGGTCCGCATGCAGACTACCATGCCCCCATTTGCGCATACGTTGAGGGAAGGATGGGCAAAAGTTATCAAGGAGGAGGGTATCGGTGGCCTGTACAAGGGACTATACCCGCTCTGGGCACGTCAGATTCCCTACACCATGGTCAAGTTTGCAACGTTCGAGGAGACAGTCACCCAGATCTATCGCTTCTTGGGCAAGCCGAAGGAATCGTACGGTGGCCTGCAGCAGACTGGAGTTTCGTTCTTGGGAGGTTACATCGCGGGTGTCGGTTGTGCCGTTGTATCGCATCCCGCAGGTACGTTTTTCTAGGATTTTATGCTTTGTAAGAGAAAGATCACGCTGACGCATAATAGATGTCATGGTGTCAAAACTCAACAACGACCGCAAGCCCGGTGAGGGAGCGGGCCAGGCTATCGGCCGGATATACAGCAAGATTGGCTTCACTGGTCTGTGGAACGGGCTTCCTGTCCGCATCTTCATGATTGGCACTCTGACTGCCTTCCAATGGCTCATCTACGACTCTTTCAAAGTCTATCTCGGTGTAAGTTTTGGGGTGACCCGTCCCTGTGAATGTGCATAATTTTGCTAATAACGCGGTGCAGCTGCCTACGACTGGAGGACACTAAACATTCTTTTTCTTTGAAATGTTGGTAACGCGATATGGATTCTGGTGTATGACATGTGTTAATGAAGAGTAAATGGTTATCGCGTATACCCTTACTCACCCAGCTTTAATGTATCTATCTATTCTATTCAAAGAAATGTAATTCAATCAACAAACACCAACCCGCCATTCCCCTTGCCTCAGAAAAAAAAACATCGTTATCGAAAACACTGACAGACAGGCATGGATACGACAACTCCCCGCAGTCTGTCCGTTGGGTCAACATGACTTATTTCCCTTTCCTCTCCCCTTTCGTACACATAAGCTCGCCTAACCACTCTATCGAAAAACCAATCTGATCTTTTCCCTTTTTTTCATATTTCTTCACCCGCGTTCCAGTACCATGCTGCAAAAAAAAGCCAAAAAGGACCGAATCGAAGCGGAAAACGACCGAATCGAAGCGGAAAACGGGGAGGAAAGGAGGGGTGGGGGGGGGGGCTTGTTTTAGGGCTTACGCTGCCGTTGTCCTCAACGGGGATGCGATTTGCGGACTTCTGACGTACTCTATTGATTTTATATCGGCATTGAGTCCCGTGTCTGAGGTGACGGGGGTTTGAGGGACAGGGGCGTGTGGAGCCGTTTGCTTACGACGGGGGACACGGGAAGGGATAACGGGTTTTGGGATTATTTTCTGGGCAAGGCTTCTTTTTTTTCTCTTTGTTAGTGGACGGATTGCGCTGGATAAGGGGGGGGGATATTGATGGCAACAGTTGTTGACATGCTGTCGAGTGAGGAATCGATGGAGTCACAGGTGAGCGCAAATGTTCGGGGACATGGAGAATTGCAAGGTTCCAATAAGAAAAAAAAAGGTATCGATTGTTTCCGTGAAAAAAGATTACTTGACTACATCCTCACTCGCTATCGCGTTCTATCATCCCGCCTGGCCCCTTCGACCAACTCCTTCTTGCTCCCTCTCTCGCGCGCCACGTTTCTTCGCACTTTTGTGTGTTATGTGATAGTGGAGGCTACGATCTACAAGTTGCAAAGCAAACCCACTCGTTAGAGATATGCTGCGAAAAGGTAAATCAAAAAGGCTCTTTAAACATCCTTGACAGCGGGAACGTTCTTGACAATATCACCGACGGCGGGGACATTGACAACACCGACAAGGTGCTCAACCTCGACGTTGTCAAGGAGAGGAGCACGAACGTCAAGGATGTTAGTGGCGTCAGTGACTGGCTTGGCAGTCTTGTAGACGAGGCCGGTGACGGGGTCGAGGTCACCTGTGACGCTGTTGACGGTGTTGGTCAGGCCGCCGACAACGGGGGTGTTATCGAGGATGCCGGAGACACCGCCGCCAACAGGCAGGTCCTGGACGACGGGGATGCCGCGCTTGAGGTTGAGGTCGATGTCGAGGAGGTCGTCAGTGTTGAGGTCAAGGACCTTGTCGGTGTCGAGGATCTGGCCGTGGGTGACATCGGCGGTGAGCTCGTTGGAGTTGAGGCCGGTGAGGCCGTCGACAGTCGAGGTGGTGGTATCGAGGTTGAGAAGCTCACGCTTGTTGTGGAGGTCGGCGTTGACGCCCTTGACGGTACCGCTCAAGTTGACGCTGTCAGTGACGCGGTCAACGGTCTCGGTGAGCTTGGGAACAAC